ACAGACTTCAAAAGCGCATTCCACATTCTCACTGAGGAATTGCTACCTCTTGAGTAGGTGGACTTTTTACTCCTTCACGTTGAACATCACCTTCCTACTCTCAAGTCGGTGGCAGAGCCCTCAACAAGCCCTTCTAGCCTTCTTATTCCCCAGCAAACAGTTCCTTTATTGCCTTGTTGCCAAGCTCTACTGCTGTGAGTCATGCCTATGTTGAAGCAAATTTTTCTTATCTTTATTGAGCACCTCAACGCTCATTGCTTTACTCACCGAGACACAAGAGTGTTTAAAAAGGAAATTAAAATAGCAAAATGTTGATGTGTGTGTTTATAGACCTGAAAGCATTTCGGTATACAGAACCAAAAGAGGGTGGAAAGGGGGCATGGAGATCACTACTGACAGCAGTACTATCATCACCTACGTCAAACCAATCAACGAGGCGATTGAAAAGTTCTTTCCTGTCCGATCAGACGATTCGTTTGATGTCGATATCGGTGTTCTTGGCGTCGACACCGATTCAGTCGAAAGAGGAAGTTGTGAAGGTTGTTGCTGAAGTAGTGAGGGCGCCTGTTGAAGGCTTGGAGTTTGGAAACCCAATGGAGGAGGAATGGGAATGGAGATGGGAATAAAAACAGGATAGGGGGTGGGTGTTGCCAATGAGGCGGTAGCAACAGAATCAGAAATTTGTCGTCCACCTAGATGACACCGTTTTTTCGACTCCTCCAACTTCTGTACTGGCAGACGAGATCGTCGTTTTCGCCGCCGATAATTTCCATGCTCAAACATGTCGTCAGCTCCTGTTGTGACTGTCCAATAGTTACCCTTCCCAGGGTGCGATTTATCTCTTCCCAACTTCACAAAACAGTCGTTCAGGCTGAGGTTGTGACGAATTGAGTTTTGCCAGCCTTGGCGGTGGTACCGGTAGTAGGGGAAGTGTTCCATTATGAAGTTGTAGATCCCTGAAAAGAGTCCAAGCATCAGTAAATTAGTCTTAATTGACAATTTGCTAACCTACGGGGGAGAATGCCTGTGTTTGATGGAGTCTTAATGGGTTTTTCTCTTCGTTTAATCGCATAAAGTACGCTAGCCATTTTAACAGTCGGTATGTGTGTGCAGAGGGTAAGATTTATCGTTTTGTAAACAAGCTCCTCCATCCAACCCGTGTGTATGTGTGTGTGCATGTGTGACTCATTTGCGGGTGGGGTGGGGGCAGGGGAGCAGGAGGCTAGGGGAAGTGGCATGGCAGAGATTAGCATCTTGTTCTCGGGTCTGGCGGGCGCGTTAGTTTTCTCTCAAGGCTTGTGTAAACAAACCCGTCTCCGAAGCCGAATCAGAACACACGTGTTTGTGTATTTATATTTTCACAAATCTGACAGGCTTCAACTAGTAGTTTGCATGTGTGCGTGTGTGTACGTATACCAGTCAAATCCTCCTCCAAGCATTCACGGAGCGAGAGGGTAAGGTAAACACACATACGCACAAGCCCAAACACGCTCTAGTTAAACAAACACACGCATACACACACACAGCATCTTCCTGGGCCAAATGCACCTCCTTTCAATGACATGAGCAAGGGAGCAAGTTAAACCGACTACTCGACTCCATTCGGCGTGACGCGACGCGACGAATCAACTATCAAAGCCGACTCTGACAGGCAATAATAGAATTGTAACTTCAAGTAGATTGTTTACGCAGCAGAGCTGAATAGCACACACATAGACACACACACACACACACGCAGCGAGAGAGAGAGAGGAGGGGGTCCGTCAATTATGGCTACACTGCACACAGGCCTTCACCCACTCACGCAGGCAGGGAGGAACACACAAACCTCAGCTAGGAAAATTCACAGCCATTAGCGTACAGGAAGAGAGCGAGGGCGAGAGAGAGTGAAGGATTATTGCCAGAATCGGGAGGCTGTAGCAATGGCTAATTTAAAAGGCAAAACATGTAGAATGACCTAGTCTTCAAAGTGGAATAGGTATTTGAGCATCTTTGTGCCCCTTTCTCTGTGTGCGGGCGTGTGTGTGTGTGTGTAGAAGTGCGCCTTTAATTCGTTTGTGTGGGATTTTGGCGATGCCTTGGCGTATTTTTCTTCCTTCTCCACCTCCATCTCCTTCTCGTCTTCTTCTTGCGATGATAATCACGGGTACCTCGCATTCCTTTCTTCTGGTGTCACACACACACGCACAAGCACGCAAACACGCGCGCGAACACACAGTCACTCACTGAACCTGTTCCGAGTTACAATTGAGTCTATTTACACTTTACCTTTGTAGTGTAGCCTCTGGTGGATTGAGCCATGAGAAAAATGAGGTGCATTCGCCTGCCGTCAAGTGGACTGACAAGAACGAAAACAAGTCTAGCAGCTGTAATGTACTTTCCCCTGATTGGCTTGATAGACTTAATCACTGACAGTTTAGATGTGCATCTAATGCTTTGCTGGGTCTACTCATGACTTTGAGAAGGAGGCAGTGAGAAACAAATTCTTCAACTCTTAAAGGAGGCAGGTGAAAAGTAGAATTCCAGGGCACACATACTTACCGTTCAGCGTGATCTTCTTCTCTGGTGTGCTCTTGATCGCCATCGCGATGAGTGCAATGTAGGAGTAGGGAGGTTTGTGCAGAGTGTCGGCTGGGAATTCAACCTCATCCACGGGTGTGTTTGCTCCACTTTCTGTCGCCGTAGAGGTATTCGTGTTGTTGGAGGTTGTCGCCGTAGATGCATTCGCCACTGAAGACGCGAAGTCATCAATCCTCTTCTTTAGTGCCAACGCTGTTGAAGCCAAATGATCCACTGGAATCGACTGACTCAGTTGTTCTTGTTGCTGCTGCTGTTGCTGATGACTTTGAATGTAGCTCGTCAGGCGGCGAAATAGGTCCAAGGAGAGGGCATTAGAGTCGTAGCAAATACTCTCACTATTGGCAGTGTCCATTAAATCAACAATTTTTGGCGCTTTTTTGGCAAATCACACACATCTATCCATGCAGATACACACCCAGCCAACTACCTTATATATGACGCACCCGGCTCAGGCAGCACACAACTGACCAATGGGAGGGCGCCAAGGCCTCAACCAATCAGACGGGTGGTTACGTATTCGATCGTCATTTGAACATTTTGTGTAAACATTGATTAAAAGAGAGGTGCTTTTCGAGGTAAAGCCAATTTCTTCATAACTTCTTGATTCATGTGAATACCTCTACTACTGCTGCTGCTTGTTACTATGCCTTATACTGAAAATTGTGAAGGGTGAAGAGCTGAAAGCATGTGACAGGCCAGGAAAGCAGTCACCAAATTCACATACTTGCAACCAAATGCCACCAATTTGGGAGCTCAAGTAGAACTTGCAGCCAATTTTTTTTGTCTAGCATTTTATGAGCAAAAAAATATTTTTGCCGTCTAAACGAATAAATAAATTCAGATGTCAGTTCGAGGAGTTTGGCAAACCACCGAGGTTTGGGGAGTTATAATGCAATTGTTGTTTTAGATCCTTCTCCACCCCCAAAAAGGAGACACCCGAAGAGAGGAACGAGTAGAAGAGTGCGGAATTTAGCCTGGCCTTGAGATCAAATAAATAGGAGGAAAGTTTCCTGCCAAGTAGCCATAGCTAACTTGCTCTAGTTGGTCTTAGCTACTGATGAAGTAAGTATGAGAAGGGCTAAATCAACTCCCTTTCAACTTCTTTGCCGTCTTGTTCTTCTTCTTCTTCTCTAGCGCCTCATTTTTATTGAACGTGCATATTTCACAAGAAATGGGGTCAAAAAGGGTGGAGGAGGAATCCAATCCCCCACTACATGCATAGACGCGGCTGTGATCGTATCATGTGAAATGAGGTTATTTTAATGGAATTAGAGGAAGCTAGGGTTTCTCCGCAGTTAAAGGAATCTGGAAAATATTTATTATGTTTTAGTAGTAAAAAGAAATATACTCTTCGAGTCGACTCACGCACCAATAATAACCTTAAATTAGATCTCCTCATCATGATATAATTTCTTGTTTTTATGGCAAATTCTCGACACTCATACCGGTGAATTGCCCTTTATTACTTATATAATTTGATTTGGTGTACTAAAATGTGTCCTCATTCATCTCCCCTCGCCTTCCCTCTTCTCGACCCGCTTCACCTCCCTTCTTTTCTTCCATCCCTGCTATGCTCATAATTAACTTTCTTGTGGTTTTAAATAATTTCTTTGCTACTAGATCAGGCCACTGTCTTCCTCTTTGGCGGAGCAAATATGTCTTGCAAACATTCGCCTTTAATGATAAGAATTAGGATTTCTGGTTTTACATTTCGTTTTTAAGGACTGTCAGAAGAATAGAAAACATGAATATTTGCAATTTGTAGGTGCCATTAAGGAAAATGTGCCACTTGATTATGATTAGTTTAAATTAGTTGGTGACCTTGAGAAATGGGCATATATGATTGGCTGAAGAATTTGTAATTTACCCGTGGACCCCTGCGCCTAGTCTGCTTGCAGTCAGGTGGATTTAAAGGCGAGGAACAACAATCGATTGCGAAAGGTGTTTGTCATATAAAATATACGCCACGAGTCACCCAAATTATCCCTGAAGTTGTCGTTAGGTGCGCTACCCTGCCTGGCTTAGAATCTATTTATGAATTGATAAAAGTACTGATGGGTTGTCAACAGAGAGGGAATGTGGTAACCAAAAATGCGAGGTATAAGGAACTCAAGCAGCTTATACAATTGCTATGTGGTTATTTAGCCTTTGGTGATCCTTGCGATCACTCTCTTGCGCCGATTCGCACAACGCAGTTGATGATTTAAAAACCGCTTGCTAAGGTCACTAATTGATTTTTGTGTCAGTGAAATACTTCATAGATTTCAATAGTGCCAGCATCACGGTCACCGTGCCAACCGCATTGCTGGGGGTCACTGGCTTTTTGCTTCTCAAAGTGATCCACTGAGGTCACAATACATTGCCATTTGGCCATCCATCTAGGTTACCAGCTCATGTGGCAGTTGTGATGGTCGTTTTTAGATCTTCCTTATCTGATTTCGACTAACTCCTTAATTTTCCTGTTACAAGATCCTAGAATCTTCCCTTCATTGGTTCATCATCATATATCTTTTGGCCCTTGGATTTGGTGTTTAGACGGTGAATTCATCATTGTATTCATCTTGACCGAGTTAACCAACCCCTGCCCTTACTGAGGTGCTAGAGTCCTCCTTAAAGACGTTTCATGATGGACATAGCTGAAGGACCGCTGGAGATGGTTTTTAAAAATAACATGAACGCAACACCACGTTGCCAAGGCGGTGACCAAAACTATCAGATTGTGAAGACCCCGATTACTGCAAGTCCTGATAAAAAAACAAATCGAATTCTTAAGAGCAGGTCACGAAAAATAATGCCTAATTCGTGGCTTCTCCATTCACTTGCCTCCGAGACGTCTAGTCTTCTAGGAGGCGATTGCGTAATGACGTTGAAATCCTAGGCCCAGCAACTTGACCTTTCTGGTCTCATCGTGGTGCTATGGCGTGCAGTTCGTGCCGTTTTAGCCACCACGAATGAAACCAGCCAGCCAGTCGGCCAGCTCTTCCTCGCAGTCACGGTAGGGTCATGGAAAACGCAACCCCTGCGGAGGAGGACAGGGCGTTCGAGCTTCCCAAATTCATCTGGGATAAGGCTAATCACAAACTTTAAGTCGTTGTTTTATCCCTGAAAAAACAAGGTTGTTCGATTATTCCTGTTGAAGGCACTCTACGTTGTGACACTTCAGGACTTGCAATAATCAAACTCGCAATGAAGTAGAAGGAGGTTTGACATTACAAGGCCATGATATTGATGCTATTGGAGTTGTCTTAGGCTCTCACGACTAGTTAAGGCCGAAAAAGCGGTGACAGTGGCTGCGACGTCAAATCGTCAATCATTTCCATGAATGAATCACTTTGTAAAAAGTTTGTTTCAGCCTCTACTTTTTCCTCCTCTCCTGGAATGCTTGTGAATCTGTGGAAGGATTTCAACAGTGTTTTAGAAAAGAGTAGCAAGAATCAGGCGATCTTTCTTGGCCTTTTTAGACAACAAAGTCCGATAAACGGGGGTGTTCGGAGTGTTCCTGTTGAATTTCAAGGTGAAAAGTAGAAGAAAGTGGAGTAGAAGGTTGATTTTCATCAAGGACGTCGGTGACTTGAACATTTCTTTTCACTGATCGGTAGTAGTTGGGAGGGCATTCTAGGCGTGCCTGAGTGCGGAGACTGCGAGTGCCCTTCCACAAAGCATCGTGCTTCATGGATGGATTTATCTTCGCCTTGACTCCAGCTTGGAAAAGACCCCGGCATGGAAGGATCTTCAAGAACAATTTCACTGGCCTAAGAGATCCGAAGGACCGTGTTTTATTCACCCCCCTCATGATTAGACTCATTTCTTGTACGATTTTATAAGATATTTTGTGTCCACCCGACCTTCAACATCTGCCATGTTACTCGCCAGATATTCACGAGAATGTCTGTTGAGGTTGTGATCTAGAATCGATACCAACACTGCCGAAGTTGTCACTTTTCGACGCGAGGACAATCGTCTTTGAATCCTTGACACCATTCGAATGTTCTGCCACGACCGAACAGCTTGTATCCCATCACCGTGCCACATGGTCCCGTACCACTTTTTACTGTGCTGTAGGAGTAGGTATGAGCTGAACTGCGCTTCAAGGCTCGGTTGACACGACACGTCATTTGGCACCGCGTATGGAGACCTAAATTTAAGCACAGGCGTCGTCTGCAGTGCGGCCACGTCTACTGGTCTCCTGTGTCCCCTTGACATTCATTCCACCGCATTTGCCATCTGCGCGTCTAGTCTTCCAGTTCTTTAGTATTCTCACTGAATCCTGATTCTTAACTGCCTTCCCTCCCAGTACTTCGGGACATTGCTATTAATTAACCTTCCTAGGTCGTATTGAATTGACACTTTGGGAACAAGGTAAGTGGAAGTGGTGGTAAACGACGTGTCCCGTCAACCGAGCCTCTAAGCGCGATTCAGATCTTGCCTACCTGTAGAGACGGCTTCCAGAACAGCACAACACGACTTGGTATAGTTGGTGATGGGATTTCCAACTGTTCATTTGTAGCAGGACATTTGAATGATGTCAACTCTTCGAAGTAGATTGACTGTGTGTTAGTCATTAACGACTTTGGAGGTGGTAGTAGCGTTTCCAGCTCACGGCCTCAACAGACAGTGGGTCCTGGAGGTCTGATCGACACAAAATCCTACGTGCTAGCACACAAGAGACGCGTCTATCCATGGAAGCCAGGATTACCTGGGTCGCCAATATTATGCGACAAAACGCGGTTGCACAATTTCTCGTCGGGGTCAGACAGACCTCAAGGTCGTGAAAACCTGCGGACACTAAGGTCGCCATCGAAGTTAAGCAGATTGTCTTAGGCTTGTTCACCTGGTGAAGTTTTTAGGCAGTGGGTTGTGTCAAGTCCTTAAGGTGTCACCCCTCCTGCCTCCTCCTATAGACCCAAAACTCCCGGTCCAACGAGCTGAATTCAAAAGCACAAGAAAGTTTTACGGGGAGTAAAATTTCCTCCTCGCATTGTGGAGACGACGTCGAAGTCGGTGCATCCAGCTGACGTAGCTGTGTGGTAATCTCTGCAAGTGCGCCACCACCATCCTTTCTAATCAGATTGGAAGTTTGGGTGTTCCCGCCAAAGTTGCGAGCAAGGGAGAATTCTGAGGAGAACCTTATTTAAACAAACTCGACATACCATTCCTCTCTAATACTGCTATGCCTTTGTAATGCCTAGGGTCCTACCCGAGAACGCGATATGGAAGACGATCATTTCCAAAGTCCTCCGGACTGTCCGGACAAAGGGAAAGGCTATAGGGGCATATCGAAATCCAGGTGACAACTGGGCGGCAACGAAAACCTTTGGGTGTGAGGTTTCAGTGTAGTTGAACACACATTATTACAGTAAGTAACCCTCTACTGTGCCCTAATTACGCCTTCATGGGTGATTCAGGGTGCTACAATCGCACTCGAGAACATCAGATTAGTTTAATGTAATCACAAAGTCGCCAAGATAAGGCCGATAACAGTCGAAAAGTGGATTTCTCTAGAGCAGAGTTATTTGCGCAAGATCAAAAAATGCTACATGAAAAGCAAGAAACTCATACACAGATACCAAAACTGAAAGGTTGACAGAAGACACTAGATCTGCTGCTCACCCTAGCCTGCCAGGGACGTTGAAGACACAAATAATCAGGCGTCAGTTTGACAGGAGAGTAGAGAAGCCACATTCTCATGCATTTTATTCACATTGAGTTACATGGATCAAGAGCAAACACAACAGATGTTTGCCTGTTTTTCTTCTGTCAAACCATGAAATAAGTCAGCGCGCTGACTAAGTGTTCTGGCTTGGCTTATGAAAAAATTTTAGTCCCGAATATTCTCAAGATTGCACAAACTAAGAACTCTTACGACCCAACAAACTAAAAGAAAGATAAGGATAAAAAACTTGAGTATTCGGAGAGTTAATGAGTAAAATTAAACAATGGGTGAAGTACCGGACCAATGATTAGCCAGCGATTCCAAAGAATTTACTTGGTGTTAATGAGTAAGACAAATACCTTCAAATAAGAGTGGATATGAAGCTACTTCATTAAATGATCACTAAATTGGGGTGAAGGAGTCAACACTGACGTGATGGGAGAACTTGCCACGGTTTCACATACCAGTTTGCTAACGAAGGTCACGCTAGTTTTGTGACACGAAACTCGATAAAAACTTAGCCATTTTAAATGCTAAGCGATAAAATGTGTGGAGATTTCCCCCTAGCAGGTGATGTTGTGATTTGGCCCTGTGTCGAACTGTGTGAACGCTTTAGTCGCCGTGCATTGCATTTTCGCTCTTGGATGTAACTTGCAAGCCAGACAAGTGGCTACCCAACTGTCCTTTGCATAAGCAGAATGTGTTACTCTACAGTACTTTGACTTGTTACGATAGCGGGAAAAACTGTGAGCTCCACAAATTGCTTAGTACCCAAAGCCACAAATTCAATATAGTGTTAAGTGATACTGCTAATATATTTAACACAAAAGATAGAACAACTAAACCTAGGTTTAAAATAAAAACTCAGATGTAAGATATTTAAATTAGCAGCCTTAACCTCATTAGTTTGCCAAAGGTGATATTTTATATGATTTTAGTGTCATCGCCAAATACGAAGTATGGCAGTTCGACGTTTTATATGCCTCAAAAAAAATCATAAAATCTTTCGACTTTTGCCAATGTAATAAAATAGTGATGGTTTACAAAACGTGAAGTACGTTTGTATTACTTTCACAGGTGACACACTTACAAAATTGTGTGTAAGTGTTTTCACACGTTATATGTCACCAGAATTTGGGATTTTGTGCAACAATACTCATAAGTTACTACCTAGTTTCCCTTTTTTTAAGATTGTCGAACCTTGCATTATCTTTTGCCAATTTCAACCCGTCAATTGGCAAACAAGTGGCGTTTTCAGTACATGTTCCGCGTTTATTCATGTAAAGCATACCCCCATATTTTGCAGATTTAAAGAAAAATGGCACCTCCAAACGCGCTTAGCATGGTAAAATCAGAGGTGTCGATGCTGCTTACTTCAATGAAGTGTGGCTACCGATCCAACTTTCGTTTCTCCCAGGACGATGCCAAAAGGGCTCTTCTTGACAGTTTGACATCCCTCCGACGCACGTTAAATGACGCCCCAGGTAGGCCTAGCCTTTAAAATCGTACTTAATTTTTGCCTTTTTTCAAGATTTGGACTCTCTCAATCCTTTAACCTACCTAACTCCTTTCCTCGACGTTATTCGTTCGGATGCGACCACCGGTCCAATCACTGGTCTCGCTTTAACCTCCGTGGAAAAGTTTCTTGCTTACGGCCTTCTCGAAGTTCGTCCAGATAGCTCTAATGCCTCGCAAAGCACTATCGGCATTGCTATGGAGACGATCGCGGACGCCGTGATTCAAGCCCGTTTCATCCGAAGTCGTCTAAGTTCAGATGAGGTGGTATTGATGAAGATCGTTCACCTCCTTCGCACCCTCCTTCTCATTCCCTCCGGCTGTCTTCTCTCCAACATGATGGTCCGTGAGATCCTCCAAAATTGTCTTCGAATCTGTCTGGAATCGCAATTGTCGGAACTGCTTCGACGCACTGCGGAACACTTCCTTGCCTCGATTGTGCAATTATTCTTCTCTCGTCTGCCAGCTCTCCTTCTGGCTGCCGAAACTAGTCATCAGGTAGGGTTGCTCGATTTCACTTTTTTATAAACCTTAATCCTGTAATATCAACAGGACGAGGAGGAGGGGGACTTTTGCATAAGCAACGAAAGACTTTCAAGAAAAGGGAGTAGGAGGTCAACGATACACGCGGAGACGTCGCTAGATGGAGGAAACTCCGAGGCTAATCAGGAGGAAGTTAAAACAGAAGGTACGTAACCTTTTGACTGAAAGTGGTATATCTGCTGATGATTTCTGGCCAATCAAAGCATAGATTCACAGCTTTACTTGGAATTGACGTGAAATTTTTCCTTTAAATATTTTTGTATGCATATCCCCCCATTTCATTTCTGAAATGTTATAACGCTCATTTTAATCGGTAAGTTACACCCCAAAATCGTACTGTTGACTTTGGTTTTCCGGTGTTTTGTTTCCGTCAGCCTAGCCTTCCAAGGAGCTGGAATGTGCGAGTTGACCAGCTTGTAAATTTTAGTAGTTCAAGTAGTTTGTAATTTTGTGTCTTTCCACATTAAACGCTTCAACTTGTACTCAAGGTGAGTGTGATAGCCCCTTTTGAGTAAACTGTCAAACTGCTTCCCATTTTGCGTCTGTCTTTTGTGCCTCAACTCACATTTACGAATGAGGCAAAGTGGAGACTTGTAGTCATTTTCGCTTTTGAGCTCTTGTTTATTGTTGAAACTGATGCTTTTTGCCCTTGAATCCGAAGTTTTTAGGTGGTTTCAGATTTCTGGCTGGAAGTTTATGTACCCTATGGCGCATTTCTGCGTACTGATGCCATCATCGAAATGACGGCATTGTGGTGTGTAATGTTTACCCCCTAGGCCTCATTCTCGCAGATTTTCTCCTTTTGCTAGTGCTGCATCGATTGATAATTTTTTGTCAGTTTGTTTAAACGCTTGTGTTGGAAGCTTCTGACATCATATAGTTGTGATCAAGTCAACTCGACTTACTCTAAGATGCACCAGTCATCAATACTACTTTTCATCCCTTGTTTTTGCCTGATTAAAAGTTACGACGACTGTTTGGATTCCTAAAACTTTGCGCAGCTTCTGGTATACCTTGCCAAGGTACGCAGCCCTCTAGCCTTGTAGAGTGGTTTGGAGGCTTCCATGAGTGCATCTTTCTAAGAAATCTGAGTCTTTGTGTATTTAATTTCGGGGCTTGAAGCCATAATTTGACTTTGTGAAGGCGTAAAACTAAGACGCATCAGAATTCTTTAATACCTCAAAAATTGGGCTTTATTGCAGTTGGTAATTTTATTAAGAATTCTCTCCTTAACGTTAAACCAATTAGGCGGAATTCTAATGTCAGTGTTACCCTCTAAAAGACTTCAAATTTATTCCTTGGAACTGTACTTTGTGCAGGAGTTATTCACCCTAAGTTAGGGCATGTTGAGATGGCATCGAGTAAGGCGACTCCACTGAGGATGGTTACATGGGACGGGGTAATAGGATTACCAAGGGAATACGAAGGATGTGAATTCAAAAGAGTTGCAAAAACATGGTCGTATGTTTTATGCAGTCAAAAAGTCGGAAAATCGTGCAAAGCTCCCTGAAATGAAAAGGAAGAAAAGTTGTTTGCTGAAGGGATCCCCCTTTATAGTCAGGCTGTCATCCTGCGACAACGAGACACAGGTCTGCCGAAACAGTACTGGAAGGTGGTCCTGAAGCCCCAATCTCCACTTCTTTTGACACGTCAGTAAGGCGGCGGCTCGTCATTCTGTTCCATCCTCAACGGGATCTGGTGATGCGGCATTGGTATCCTGAAGAGATTCATCACTACAGTCGAGCTGTTGACTCGAAATACCACCTCTTAACTACGGCGCGTTGCCCCTTTTCCAACAGGCTCAACGAGGAGCCAGTTTGTGCAGCCACGGAGCCTAGAGGTTGAGTTGGATTGGAGCCGTAAAGCAGAAAAGTTTAAATCAAATCTACCAGGTGGTCAGTTCAACCGGCATTTCACGGAGGGAGGGCGAGTTGACAGCCATGAAATCTTTCCACTTTTAAAGCTGGGTTCTTTTTCACGCTTTTTAGGCCTCATATTTTCCTAGTTGATGTTTTCACTGCGAACTCATGCCTAATGTTGGCACGCCTTCATGGTTTCGAAGTGCTTTTATTCGGTGGTTCTTGAAAACTCTGTCTCTGCTCACCAATGGAAATGGCGACCCTATGCTCCCACCTCTAACCGCGGTGTTGCGCCATCAGAGACACACGAAGAGAGAAGGAAGCATCAACTCTTCCTACGCGTTTGACACGTTTGTTGTCGGGGGCCGTCTCAGGGATGAGTCGCTCACCACCACAGCCACTGATGATTTGACACCAGCTGTTGCACTTCCAATTTGATTAATTCAAGTGTTCCCACTCTATTTTCCAAACTAAAGACTGCCCTATCTCTGCTTTATTGTTTTGACCTCAACTAAACCACCACAAGAGGGTTAAGTCCAGGCGTCACAAATGCGTGACATGCGGATTCAGGTGGCAATGGTAGTTCTGCAAGCCAAATTTAAAAATGAATTAATAAGCTTAAAAGGAACAGATAGCTGTTTGTTTTGAGTCTTGCAACACTGGAATCAAGTACTTTTTCTTCTATGAAGGGCAAAATTGCTTAATCTCAAGTTTCACTTTTTCCAAAACATTCTTTTCCATTTGATACCAACGGAATTCTTCTACTAACTGGTCACAGGTACGACTCCTCTCCTACATTGTGATTGTAGAACATTAGGTTACAGGAACTGGCATTACCACCATGGCGTAACTCAAAGCACTTTTTTATGGCTTAAATTGGAGGTATTTTTAGGCCTGAGTCATACCCTCTTCTTGGTCATTGGTACTGTGATTCTTTTTTTTTCACACAAATGTTTTTTTGACGCACCGGTAAAGAGATCATGCTTGCTTAAGGGGAATGGATGTAACTGCGGCGCTTCAAGCCTTATCCCAATGCGAAAGATTTATTATTAGGGTGCGCAGCTACGGGTACGGACGCCTGACGATGGTGGTAAACACTTTGGAGTGTGGGAAATTTCGCGTTGTCAGATATGTTCTCTGTACAGTTCTAGAAGGACTATTCCAGATTGTGTGGCGATATCCTGCTCAATCAGCATCTGTTGGGAGGGATCCGGGGGAGCTGTTAGTATTCTGATGACGAAATTCCCTTAGTCCATTCTCATCACTTTAGTGTGTGGCCTCATCAGTCGGGATTCCTTGAGGGAGAGCCAATGTTGAGATTTTCTTGCGACTTTGCGACTACACAAGGGCTTATGAAAAGGGCGGCTCCGCGTAACCGAGGTAGTAGGCTCCGTTTCTACACATTTTATTGTCTATGCCTTGATGTGAATGGCACCCTCGCCGAGAACAGTTGTTAGGCTACCTCCTCAACCATCGGGGGCATGGGTTAGCACCTATGAGGCGAAAACGAAGGTGATATCGCAATGGTGGAGGCTCCTGGTTTCACCTGTAGCGATGTGGCCTGCAGACTTTCCTTGTACCACCATTTCAACACTAACCATAAGAATTAACTTGGTCATTGGTGCGAACGTTTAGCCTGGGTGAACATTTTTTCAAATAACAAATGTTCGCGGGTGAATGTGTCAACTGTTTTCATCTCGTGTGGTTGTGCATCAGTCAGGATACCTTTTTACAGGACTGTTCGTTGCTGACACAAATACACTTTTAGGTGATCCAAAATGTCTTGATGCTGGAGGGGTGAGCATGGGTGAAGTCTGTGGCCTCGGTTTTAACGCCTTCGTAGGAATGAAACTTTGTCCATCGCCATGTAATGTACCATGCGCAGACCATCGTTGATTGGCCTACATCATGCGTACCGTTAATTAGTGCTCGTGAAAGGATGCGCTCCACACTTGGTACTGCGTTCTACCTCGACTTGGACATTTCGCATGGTGTTGATGCCTGGTCGAGGTTCCGCGGTGAACACAGTTTGAATACCAAGAATGGAAGGGGAAGGTGCAGCTTTCTATTGGCTGACGGTCTCTGGTGAATAATGTGTTCATCTTGATTGTTTCGCAGGGTGTGGAGTCTTTTCGATGACAAGGATCTTTATCATTATCGGCTTTGTTTATTTTGTGCAGAGATTATTTACAAATCTATCTTCCATCTGACCTTGAGACGATGTACCCAATTTATCAATTTCTACTTAGTTGTCTTGTCAGATCGTGGTTGGGGTAACTCTACCGACATATTCTAGGTTACTTTCTTACAGACGATGATTAGGCCTTTCTTCTACTGTTCAAGTAACCGCTTCTGTTAGGAACTCCTTCATGGCTCCTGTATAAACTGATGCAGCACTTCGTCTGTTAGTCGCCTTCCATCTTCAATGACTGTCGGTCGAAATGACCTACCTGATAATTCACGGAGTCACTTTAACTCAGTCTCTAAGCTCTATGGCTGCACAAACTGGCTCCTCGTTGAGCCTGTTGGAAAAGGGGCAACGCGCCGTAGTTAAGAGGTGGTATTTCGAGTCAACAGCTCGACTGTAGTGATGAATCTCTTCAGGATACCAATGCCGCATCACCAGATCCCGTTGAGGATGGAACAGAATGACGAGCCGCCGCCTTACTGACGTGTCAAAAGAAGTGGAGATTGGGGCTTCAGGACCACCTTCCAGTACTGTTTCGGCAGACCTGTGTCTCGTTGTCGCAGGATGACAGCCTGACTATAAAGGGGGATCCCCTCAGATGCAATTTTGTCTGCTTTTTGCTTCGATTAATAGGAGGATCGCTTGCCTACGTGGCGCAGCTGCCCGGTCCAGTTTACCTTCGCTTTGGAGCCATTAGCTCTCTTCTAGACCTTTCCGTCATTTGCGCTGCTTCAATCACGCGTATTTTTTATTATCCGTGAAGGTCTACAGTGGACAGTTGTCTTGTAAGCCCGGTTTTCATTGGTCCGCAGGAGGTGGTGGCTAGCGAAGGTTTTGTGCCTCTCTGACATTCTGACACGATTTCCTTCGATGAAAGATCGTTGTCTTATTCTCTATCCAAGAGATGCGAAAATGGTGTAAACTGCAACGAAACTGGAATAAGTTGGCGGTTCTTTGGTTTTGAATTGCAGCAATTAACAGTACTGTCCGATCTTTCCTCTTGGGTACTTTTCCTAATGAGAAGGAGTAGTTTGGTGTGTAAGCAGAAAATTGAAGGTGGCTTTCGAGATTTTTATCATGTACCCAAATTCAAAGATTAGCTTTTTGTCCGAGGAAATCGTGGAGGACACATTCCGGAGTTGCAATTTAGTTTGAATGAAAATACCGTAACGGTTATGCTTATCTCAAAGCAGTCCATCTGTTTCTTGCTGCCTAAAAACAAGGGGATCGAAATTGCTGGCAATTATTTATTTTTATGTAGGGTTAGGGAGAGAGGCTGCCTTTGGATTGTTTAATCTCTTTCAAAAGTACTCAATTTCTCGTTCTGCTCGTAAATAAAGAAGAAGGTACATCTTGAGAGGATGAATAATTGGCTTTGTTTCTTTTAAAGGTAAGGCTGTCGGTAGGTTTGTAGGCGTTATGGTTGCTGAACCATCATCAAAGAACAGCACAGTCCCTCAACATTTCTGAAAGCCAATCTGGGCGACCTCCCTAAGGCACATTTTTAGCTTTGGATTGAATTCGTAGTTGAAAAAAGTAAATGGCTTCCCCTTGCTTACCTGGCTTTGAAGCACTTCTTAGGCGTGTCCGACGCTTTTAGTCGCGACTATTTCACCTCAAGTTTCTGCTATTTGGCATCCTTTTCCACGGGACTAGTCGTTTCTGTTGGCGACAGTAAAGTGGTGGATGTAACATGCTGCAGGAAGTTCTCTAGAGATGGCTGTCAACTCCTTGAAATTTGGTGTCGTCTACTTACTTACCATCATGATTAAAAACTCGAAGTTGGAGTGGTTGTCACCGGTTGACGTAGGTCCATTCTGTGCTTCTTAGTTTCTGCGGTAAATGTCAAAGCATCTCCGTGGATCTAAGTCTCCTTTCATAGTGTTTCAACTGCCTTCTATGTTCTTTCAGTATCATCTAGCCAATCGTAAAAATCAGTGCCTAGTCTTAGTGGACTTACTCATTCGTCTCGTCTTCTCCATCGTCTTGTCCTCTTTTTGCCACTCTTCAATAGTCTCTCTGGATCCATTCCAGCCGATCGGCGCGTGGGAGGAAGGGTTGTCGTCTCCCTCCTCTTCGTGTAAAATGCCGTTTGTATCTGGTTTCTAATCACACTTATCAGTATCTGTGGCTTCGATATTCCAGCACTTTTGGCCACCCACAGTAAATGTCTTCTTTATGCGACGTTTTAACGTGTTTTATAGATCCTTCGGCAGATAAATACCCACTTCGAGACGAGAGTATTTGCAGTTTGGGTGACCACTTGGTTGCGGATCGGCAGACACCGACGCCGACAGCAGCAACGTCAGCTGAAGTTCAACCGTTGCCGTCACCTTCGTCACATTCACCCGTCTCCTTCAGCGTGGAAATCGGTCAGGAGGCCGAGGAACACCTAGCTGAGGTCGAAGGTCAGATGGAAGTGCCTATAACTGAGAGGCATCAGTGCCCCAGGCTTAACCTCTTAATGGTGACGCGCTTTTTACTTTTAAGCTACCTCTATCTTCCCGGGTAGTAGAATGATAAGGAATGACGCAGCTGCGAACGGCCTTGTTTTCCGGTCCCACAACATCTCATTAACTCTTGAACCACAGGAAATAACATTCATGAACTGTAATACCTTCGTTTTTTATTCTCATATTCCCTCTGCAGACATAGATACCTCCAACGAGCACATCTGTCGTCCCTACAATCTCCAAGCCGTACACAACCTCTTTGCTCTTCTCGTGAACCTCCTCAACCCGGAGGAACACCAGGAAGGAGTGATTAAGGTCTCCCTTAACCTCCTCACCGTGGCAATGGAGACAGGTGCGGATTTTTTACATGCCTGTCCTGCTATTCTCCGACTGGTGGCCACTGATATGACCAAGTACCTCATGATGCTGCTTTATCGCGAACGCATCCCCCTTTTCGCCGCAACTCTGCGTCTTGCCTTTCTGCTCTTTGAGGCTCTGCGGATGCATCTGAAGTTGCAGCTTGAGGTCAGTTGAGGATCTTTATTAATCTACATTTTGAAGAAGTTGAACCCGCCAGAAGAGTCTGTAATGTCAGATAACTGTGGGAGGAGGGGTAGTGTAAATCATCATACTCCTAGAGGTGCTGTTTCAAATAACTTTATCCCTCCAGATGAATGCATACTACTTGAAAGCTTTTACTTTACTGCTATGAACTGTCAGTTGGTCTAAATTTTCACTTAATGAGGCTAAATGGGTTTCGCATGCTCTTGATTATCAGAGAATCAAGTAAGACATTTGAAGCAGTGGTTTGAAAGATCCGGATCCTTCTGAACTCCGGAAGGGTCTTAATCTTCTTTCAGGGACAAGGAGTGTAATTAATGTCACTATTGTGATTCTTTTCACTTCTTTATTTTGATCTGTTGAGAGAACTCAATTTACCTCCAATCACTGTTTGATGGATGGCGGCACCAAGGCGAAACATGGTGAAACTAGAGGATTCCAGAAGCTTTTAACTCTGACAAATTTTAATTTCTCTTGCATTGCTTGTAGAAGCTACATCTACTGAAGTTCATTAAAGTACGGTGCTCTTTAGGTCTACTTTCAACGCCTCATTGCTCTCATCTCCTCTGACAACGAGCGTATCACCTACGAGCATCGTGAAATCGCCCTAGACGCTGTTGTCCAACTCTTCCTCCTCCCTGGATTGGCTGCGGAGATCTACATGAACTATGACTGCGATCCGTACTGCTCAAATCTCTTCGAGGATATCACAGAGATGCTCACCAAGAACGCCTATCCTGTCAACCGGCTTGTGAGCATCAATATCATTGCTCTAGACGCTCTCCTCGCCGTGATTGACGCCATTGACATCCAGACCGGTGAAAGTGATGCGGAAGAGGTTGCAGAAAAGGTGGGAGTGGCATTTAGGATAGTTTTTTTTTCTCAACACACCATCTGTTGCTTTTTGCCATTTTTTGTTTTGACTTCGGAGCTGTCCAGTCGTCAACTATTAGGAAAGTAGAGGGGATATTATTAGCTGGCATAAATAGCTTACAAATATTCCAATGGTTGTTTCCAAGTCGCTTGGGTCTGCGTCGTCTCTGTGATGAGTCTGCGTACCTAAAGCCTGTTCACTTTTAGAGGGTCTGCTTACTACTCCCCGGATTAGTCCTGAAGTAGTCACAAGGATGGGATTGTGGACACTTCTAGCCTTATTCCCCGATCCCCTCTCCCTTTAGACGATTACGCGGCTGACAGATTTCAAGCGGTCAATTGTGCGACCGAACCGACATTGGATTCCCTCTTCAGTCATTCCAACTCACGAGAATCTGGTAGCGCAGAAGACTCGTAAAAAGGTGATTTTCCTCTTCGTTCGATTTCTTCCACCATTCTCGAGGTCTTAGCTCATAAAGTAGGTGGATTTTGATCACCTTTTAGCTACTGATGAGCGGTTCAGATCGATTCAATCTGAAACAGAAGGATGGAATCGTGTTTCTGCAGAAGAATGGTCTCCTTTCCGACCCGCTGGATCCAGTGCAAATAGCTGCTTTTCTGGCCGAGAACCCGAGGTTGGATAAGAAGATGATTGGTGAATACTTAGCCAATCGTAAAAATACCGATATTTTGGTGGCGTTTGTCCGGTAAGTGGAGTTATTGTTATTTTGGCTGGCCTGTTACTACTTAAATTTATTTAAGTAGAATTGGTAATCCTTTAAAAAGAGGATTTCTCCGTGATTGAATTTAAATGACCGCCATAGGCACTTCAACTTCCGAGGCACGCAAATAGACGAGGCCCTTCGTGCCTACCTTGAGGCCTTTCGCATTCCCGGCGAGGCCCCACTGATCCAACACCTCATGGAGTCCTTCGCCGAGCAATGGTACGAGGCCAACGATGCACCCTTCGCCAACGTGGATGCCGCTTTCACACTAGCCTATGCGCTATTGATGCTTAACACCGATCAGCACAATCCCAACTCCCGGCGACAGAATGTCCCAATGACCTGTGCAGATTTTAAACGTAACTTAAAGGGGATGAACGGGGGCGGGGAGTTTGATTCAGAGCTGGTGGAGTCTGTATATAAGAGCATTCGGGAGAGGGAGATTGTGATGCCGAGTGAACAGACGGGCTCAGTGAGGGATAATTACTTGTGGAAGGTGAGTATTGGTGGGGCAACGATCCCGTCTATCCATCTATCTTGGGTCCGTTTGTTAATCCATACTGAAGGATGGGAATATTTGTTCTCAACAGTTTATTTTCTGAAGCTAAAAAAAATGCTTTCGGGACACTGGGTAGACAACAGCCGCGCAATCCACTTATTCTCGCGAAGGTAAAAACATATCTACAGATAGCAATTAAGTAGTAGCTCCCTTTTTCTTAGTGCCTGGTCCGGCGCAGCAGCCAGTCGTCCTTTCAGCATTATGTGCACCTGCCACCGGGCCAATTCGATGCCGACCTCTTCACGATGCTCTGGGGCTCAACGGTGGCTGCGCTCTCCTTCGTCCTTGACAAGTCGACCGATGTGGCATTGCAGGCCAAAACAATGGCCGGCTTTGTGCGGTGTGCACGCATTGCAGCGCATTTTCGTATGACCCAGGTCTTTGACAACCTCATCATCTCGCTCTGCAAATTCACTCTCCTGCTCAGTCCTAATGAAGTGAGATTTTAACTATGCTCAGAATCTTCCTGTATATTTCGCAGTCTATAAATCTAATCACACTGCTTATTTCCTATCAAATGAATTTGTTATAACTGACTGCAAATGCGCAGTAGCAATTTTAATTTCTCTGACTCGACACAGACATCGGAGTCGGTTGGCGTGGCGCTGGGGCGAAGCTCGAAGGCCCAGATGGCTACTCGTCTAGTCTTTGCACTGGCCGCGACTCACGGGGACATGTTGAGGGAGGGGTGGCGCTCCATCCTCCTAGACTGCCTTCTGCGCCTTCTGCATGCCCACCTCCTCCCACCCGGCCTGGTCCGTCCACCTCACTTCCTATCCGCCGGCACTTCTTCCGGTTTCTCCGCAGCTATGGACTCGAGCGAGCATCTTAATGATACCGGCGGTCGGTAGGTCACTCTTCGTGATGATTGAGAGCTCACGGAAACAGCCTCAACTTCTCTTCAATTTTCTCGCTTCACTATCTTCACCCAGTTCCGATCGCGGTGTATTGGGCTCATTATACCATTATCTAACCCTTGGATCCTCAACCAATTTGGAGCCACTTTCCTCACCCCCACTTGACACACGCGACGCCCCGCAAAATCCCTTCGAGGAGCCTTCCACTCCCTCTCAGCCCCGGTGTTTCTCTAATGCCACGGGTCTCTTTCGGCTCATGGACGAATCCGCCATATCCGACGCTGCTGCACTTCCCTTCACGTTACCGCAGTCCGTTCACGACGATGATTTCGCCGCCATCCAGGCTGCCAAGACAACCGTAGAAGCCTGTCAAATAGACGCCCTTTTCGAGGAGTCTAAGTTCCTCATGCTGGAATCGTTGCAGGAGCTCATTAAGGTGCATTGTTACTCAAAAATTTGTCTCTATTTTGTCTAATTCAAGGACCATTATAATTGGTTGTTTCCATCCTTAGGCTCTTCTCTATGGGTTGACTAATGATGGTAGGGGTACTGACGCCTGCGAATCCGTTGTTCCAGATACTGTGGGAGGTGAACGAAGTCAGATCTTCTGTTTGGAGCTGCTTTTACAAGTGCTCCTCTACAACAGGGATCGGATTGACCAACTCTGGCTCATGGTCCGAGGGGATTTGGTGGCGATTCTGAGGAGCGCTCGAGAACCGACTGCCCTAGTAGAATGCGTGGTGGCTGGAATGCTGAGATTGGCTCTGCAGTTATTGCGTCGACAGCAGGACTTGGCAACACAGGTGTGTTTAGGTGTGAATGCTCGTCTTCGTTTTTTTACAATCAAATTACTACGGTATAAACATGAGCTGGTGATCATTGCCTCCTTACTAACAGTCCCCACAGATATAATAATGTGACTCGAAAATAACTTATGATTTATTTTTTTTCAAACTCCTGTAGATTTTTGCTTGCTTGCTCACCATTCTTAAAGAACGCGGCGCCTACCTTCTCCGTCCCCCCTCCTCCCCCTCTCGGTCTACCACCCTTACCTCTTCCACCGCTACTGCTACCAGTGTCACCCCCGGCAGCCGTCGTCTGCTACACCGCCATCGCTCTTCCGAATTCACGAAAGCGGCAATCGACGACGGAGGCAGCAGTTCCGTGGCCCGACAAGTGGTGTGGGGAGTTGACGCGCTACTATCAGAGGAGGGCGGAGCGATGGCGGTGGAGGTGCCCTCGCCACAAGACTGGCAACTCATTCTCGGACTACTCGAGGTGTGCGGTGCGGGAGCCTTTCCAATTACTCCAGCGGAGTTAGAAGGACAAGCGTGGGATCATCGACAGGGACAGCATCAGGAGGAGCCGAGGGGAATGCGGAGAGAGGATATGTGTGAGTTTTTTGCTCCACCAATTCACACTTTTGTCGTTCACCTCCATTGAGGCTTTCTTTCTTTTATACAGATTCCAGCCTCCAGAACGTGACAGCCGATGCTGGAGCCGAGGTCTCACGCGATTTTGCCAGTGACAGCGAAAGCTGCGATGTCAAAGTGGAGGCCCTTCGGCAACATCCACCAACCAGCCTCAATGGAGGCGTCGGGGCAGGAGTTGAGTCCTGGGTGCTTGTCAATGTTGTGGATAGGCCGGAGACGACAGGTGCTCTTTTTTTCACTCCAGGTTGACTATATTTTTATATTCTCAACTTTGCTTAACCACGATCCTGTTCTACTCTGAGCAGTCTTTATTAACCATCCCTCAAGGCTTGTCTTTTTGAGTCCCTAATATCGACTAACCCTCTTCTTCTTACTCTTCCATTTAGAAGCCGAAAAGGGGAGAGGAGTTGCAAACGAGGATGCCAAGAAGGAAAAAGCTGTCAGTGGAGGAGATCTAGTTCCCTCTTCACGACTCCGTCTACCCATCGTAATTGTCTTCCAGGACTGGTTTGCTCTCGAAAAGGCCTGCGGTTCCATCGCCTTTGTCGTCCGCGATCCAGCTCACATCACTCCAAACAATATTGAGGTAAGTCGAAATTCAATTCTTTTGAATAATTGAACCACTTCTACCTGATTATTTGGTTTTTAAGTCCTAGGCGTTTACCCCCAATTGACTAGGAGAATTAACTGAATGGTCCTAAACTCCTCTTTTTTTATCAGTACTGCGTCCACACCCTGCGAGTGTTTATTGAAGCGGTTTTGACACCACCGAAGCCATCCATCATACGCAAGACGTTGGCCAACGGCACAAACGAGCGTGTCTCACCGCCTCCCTTCGATTTTTCCGAGGGTCGACCTCCAGAGCCGTTCACCAGTGGAATCGCCCTTCAGGTGAGTTTAGGTGACTTTTGAGATGTCCTTCACTTGGCGCTATTGGCTAAAATTGAGGAGTCGTCGAATCTTTCATCTAGCTGAGCAGATGGAAAGGGTAATAGACAGGTGAACAGATAGTCTGACGAAAGGTTGAGTCCACTGAGGCAGGCAGAGAGACAGATAGGTAGTCGAACAGGTAGACATGGAGACGGATGCTAAAAGAGGCGGATAGACTGAGATGCAAGGATTAAAATAGAGGGGTACATACGAATGTCTGACCAGTCCCGAAACCCCTCGATTGCTTTACGCTCATATTTGTAAAATGTTTCAGACTTCACCTCTTCTTTCAGCTTCTCGACCTCGCGTATACCCTCTTCAGTCGCGCACCCTCTATCTATGCAGAGTGGACAAAACCGACGGAAGTAGAAGATGGCAGGGAGGTGGAGTCAACGGGAGACATGATAGATGCAAGTATTGACTGTCTCTGGCCCTCCTGTTGGCGAGCCTTACTGCAGGCCATTGCGCGTCTCTGTGTGGATGCCAGACGCGATGTTCGTGCTGATGCTCTCGCGTTCCTTCAACGCGCTCTTCTCTCCCCCATCCTGCATCTGTTGACGGGTCCTCAATGGCTCGACTGCTTCCTTCAGGTGGTTTAGTCTACTTAAATATGTAATGAGTAGCACAATGGGTTCTGGGTGTGTAGACGCAAAATGCAAGGGTCCAAATACTTCCTTCAGGCGCTTTTAAACTGCCAAAATTTGAGGTAAACTCAGGTAGTAAATAAGTAGGAAAGGGCTTTAATGCTTTTAACGATCTTTTTTATTTCCTCTACTGGTAGGTTCTCTTCCCTCTGCTGACCAACTTCCTTGAAAGTGTCACCTTCAACGACTCTACCCTTACAAACACCTCTCTAGGTGGTACGTCAGCCGCTTTCACCACTGCTACTGGTGTCGGCGTTGCCAACCGAGTAGGTCGTGATTCTGGAAGTCAAGGCAACCTCTCCACCGTTGGTTTCTTTTCCAACATCTTTGGTGGAGGCAGCGGCAACAGCGGAGGGGTCGAGTCGGCTCCAACAGTTCCCATGGTGCCCGGGGCGCTTGCTGAATACACAGATCCTCGAATGCGTGCTATTCCATTGTTGACAAAGGTCTTTCTTCAACATCTCAATCCGCTTTACGCGCTAGAAGCCTTTCCACAGCTATGGGAACGTATGTTGACCTACATGGAGAGGTATATCAAGGCCAATATCTCTGACTCTTTGGTGCGTTTTTTTAGGACCTGCTTAAACTGGGCGTATTAGTAGTATACTGGGCATCTTAATCACTCGTTTTCTTCACCCATCATTCTCTGGTTAGAATGACGCGGTTCGCGAGTCGTTAAAGAACCTCCTACTGGTTCTCTACACCGGCACGCAGGACACCGCGCCAATTTTGGTGCGAGACGCGCCGGAGGGTTCTAGAGAGGCGCTGTTGTGGTTCCAAACATATACCCACTTGGAGAGATTTATGCCAAATCTGATGGACCAACTATTCCCACCACCACCCCCACCCCCACCGCCACCGGAAGCAGTGGCAGGAACAACGGCAGCAGCAGTAGCAGGAGTACCTACTCCTGGGGTTGCCGAGTCTGCTCCACCATCAAATCCGACATGTAACTTAGACGGTTTGTGATACGTGTGTGTTGAAGCATTCGTGGAGTGCTGAAGCGTTGAATGAGTAGGGCACCCCAATGTCGATGTGGTAAAAATTTCTATTTACCACCATAAAAGTGTATTTGTTTATCGTCTTTCTATTTGGTTAGTGTTTTAGTAGTATAATCATGTGAAAATAGTAATGTCCGACATCAAAAGTGTCTAGAGATAAACCCAACCATTTGCTTATGTTATAATCAGACGCATTGCTATGTTGCCATCAGCTCTATCGACTGAGGTCAAATCGTCCGAACAGGCAATCCCGCCCACCGAAGCTCCCCACTATCCAACCGGCGAAGTTCGGATCCAGCTGCCCATGGAGGAGAGCGATTAAGAGAAGGGGTTTGGGGGAGGGATGAACCATGATGTTCTTTCTCCCCCGCCCCATCTCTCTTCCCTCTCTCTGCGAGAAATTCTGTGATACACTCCTCCTTCTCCCCTCACTTGTCACTGTGGTTGACTCATTTTTTCCCCTATTTCTACTTCATCCTATAAATAGTGAATGCGGTCAATGACATATACATACAGACAAACATGTGTCCCGTGGGTGGAGTTTGGCTGGCTCACTTTACGACTGGATTGAGGGAGGGAGGGAGGGCTTCGAAATTTGATTCCCATTGGTGGGAGTGAAGGCATGACTCTGTTACTGACCAATGGGGGTCAAGCATTGGTCCCTTTTTTGAAGGAAATCAGTTAAATGCCGGCATTCGATTTAGTTGGGTAGTTCTTGCGCAATAACTCGGCAGGAATACACTAATGTGATGGTGGGCGTTCTCACAACAAGTAACAATGGTGTGAATCTTTCGTCAACTAGGGTGCCCCTACTTATAGCGCCTCGGTAGTGGGTGCGCGCGACGTACCGGCAATTGCTGCGCTTGGTTACACATCATTCAAGTAGATACGGTATATGGTAGGGAAATGCAATTAAAGCTTAATTGGAGCTGATGGCCTTGTGGCTAGCCAATAGGGATCGCCGGTGAGAAGGTGCCGTCATTGCGGAAAGTTCTGATTGGGTAAGTAGTTTTGAATGGAATAATGCATTTTAGATACAAAAATATGTTTTATTTGATAAGGCTCTAATTTCAGCAAGGTGAAATTTGAACACTTCATGAAATTTTCGTGCTTTAGAAGGTGCTACCTACTCAGAGTAGGTAGGTAAGCACCGAGCACCAACACTCGAACCATCCAATCAGATGCCTTGAACTATTCCTCTTTCCGACTGAAGTCGAACAACCCCCACAAACACTGTCTAAATGGGAAATTGTGCTCAGTCCTCCGCCGTTTCTTTTCTTCAAAATTGTTTTGATGCCTTTTGGCGAGGTCAAGCTGTCATAACTTTAAAATTGACAACAAGTAGCCAAAGACGGCTTGACTCCAAATGTTTTATTTCAAGTTACCTCCAACTCCCTGCAGTACTACAATGGGTTAGGCTGTCAACAAAAAGGCACCCTGGAAAGAATAAGGAATTTCTACTTAGGGCATCGTTAGAAGGTGCTGGTCACCAATTTCTAGAGAGCTCTTGTACCCTTGCCAACGGTGGTTAATTTACTTTTCCTCTTGTTATATCAACGATATCAACCCTCAAAATGAGTGCTAATTAAAGAGGATAGACAGGTGCGGATGGAAAAGATAGATGAGGGATGGCTGGATGGATCAAAAATACCACACGCAAATTGGGAGATGAATAAAGAGATAACGAAAGAGGTGGACAAGTGGATGATGAGTTGAGAGACAGATGGAGAGATAAGTATGTGGGTGGATGGAATGATATGTTGGCAACATTGATCACTAAGGCTATTGCATCTTCATAATACAAGACAGATGATGCTAACTTGATCGACAAGGCCCCCTTTACCTGCGGGCATGAGGCCGATGAAAGCAGTGTCAGCTGTTTGAAAGAATGCAGCGCAACGAGTGTGCTTGACAGGTGGAGTCACTTAAAACAAACAAATCTACAAATACCCATGCACAAACAGAGAAACAGGGAAGGTTAACCATTTGCATCATGCCACGTTTTTATGTTGGAGGTAGAGTCTTTCGAGTGCCGCATAAGTCATCCTCCGGTAGCACAAATGACAGGTCTCCTCTTTGAACAAACCACCTCCGATTGGCATCACGCTCATTGGCGGGGCTTAAAACTCCTTTTTCGATCGTAAGTTTAGACTCAAGAAGTGGACTATCTAGGGGACAGAAGGAGCGGAGGGTAGGCAACATGGTACACTGAAAGCGCCAACCTTGAGATTTGAAGGTTGCGCTTGCATGTGTGCGTGCGCGAGTGTGTGCGTGTGTGTGTGTGTGTGTGCTAGGGGTGCATTACACATTGTCATCATAGGCCCAACAAACACACTCACACAGGTTCACCCACAGGTGGGGAGTATCATTTTCATCCATGCCGATCTCTTATGTGGATGACATCTCCGCCGGTAGTGGAGCCTTCATTTTCCTGAAGATTCTCCGAAGGTAACACGCCCCCCTTTCTGCCCCCTCCTACCCCCCCCCCCACCTGCAAGTTTGTATTTCTGTCATGTCTTGCCTCTTCCAACTGCCACACACCAAACACGCTCAAGGGGTAACATCGGCGTCAATTAGCATGCTTGGCAGAACCCGCACTTACCCCTCATCGATTTTTTGATTACCGGCTTCAAGGTCTGAGTAGTGCTCAGGAGGTGCTCCGTTTTCCAATTTCATCATTTAATTAGGGCCTCGAAAATCGATCCCAATGCGGTAGGTTGATGAGCTTTTTATGAAGTACATTTCTCATTTAGTAGGTCACCTCTCATTTTGGCAGGTATTCTGGCAAATCATTTCTTCTAAATTATCAAGTTTTTTCGAATTTTTGTCATTTAGTGGAGGTGTTGGAGGCTAGTTGGTGTTTAAAATAGGTGTCATATTAATTGACGCATACTTTACATTTTGTTGATCACTTTTGGATGGAGCTTAATTCATCTCTTGATGGAGTAGAATCTAGGCGCCTCTACTTATCCATTCTCTCTCTATTCTGCATCCATCCTGTATCCTTCTATCCCGCATCCATCTATCCTACATCCATACAGCCATCCATCCCGTATCTATTCATCCCATACCCATCCATCTCGAATCCATCCATCCATTAATTAATTGATTAACCTTCTTTGGCTTGGCTTCCGCACCCTTGAGTTGGCCTCACAAAGTACTGTCATGCAATATCCATCAGAAGAACATCTTTACTACATGGCATCGCTCAATCTATTGACACCGACAAGCTCATAACAAAGGCACATGCAAATTTTCAACAATACTAAATTACAAATTGAGGGCAGGGTAATCAGGACTTAATGGATGTGTTTTAAGTTCTTTTTTCTTGTACTTTTCTGTTCAACAGATGGAAAGGTAGCCTGTACAAACTGGTATGGGTCGATCTCCTGCTTTATCTGTGCGCTTACTACGCAATAAGTCTGACCTACCGTCTTGCGCTTCCGGAGCCACAGAAAAGGTAGGCCTTTCTTTTTCTCCCTTTCAAAAACACAAAAGTGGGAGAATCAATTACTTAGGTGAGAGTAGTTGTGCGAAAACAAGTGCCTCTTTGTTGGGGTAATTCCTATGAGGGTAAAATATTGCATTATGCTTGAGCACCTACTGAACATCCATTGAAGACATCAAGGCCACAAAATCAACCGCACTCTGTTAAGACACAAGTAAGTGCCTATAAACACGTGTGGCTGTTGTCAAGTGGAAGGTCAAGGTTGACAGCTTTTCCATTTTCTCCTATGGGGAGAGGACTGGTAGTTTCCAAGGCCATGAAATGTCTAAAGCTGCTTTTTTTTAAGACTCATTCTTTTTACAGGATTTGACATTTGTCTCTTAAGTATCTGTTCAAGTTTTCCCTCTTTAGGGTATTCGAGGATGTTGTTCGCTTCTGCGAGGGTATGAAAGGCAACATTCCCGTTTCCTTCCTGTTGGGCTTCTTCGTCTCCGGGGTGATTGGACGATGGTATAAGATGTACATGCTCATTCCCTGGATGAATCAAATAGCTTACTCGACTATGGTAACTAATAACAGACTGCATCGCCATTTATAAATTTAATTCCATCCATAAGTGGTAAAAGAATAATCCAGTTAATCCATAAATATCGTGATTAGTTCCTTCTGCCAATCAGAGATTAACCAAACAGGAAATTGGATGAGCATTACGGAATGACGCATACATTAATTTAGATATTTGCTTAAAAAGTTAAATTTGTAGAAAAACTTGCCATTTTGGCTAAAGTTGGGCCAAGAAAGTGCTATTAAGGCATAGGATGGTGTTGGTTTCAGTCCTACGTGAATTGTGCCGACAAGACGATATCTCGTGGGATCCGACTTTCACTGATGCGCTATATGAATTTGGCCTGGATTCTTCTAATGCGACGAATTAGTGACCAAATCGCCGACCGTTTTAAGCAGTTGGATGAAGATTCCAATAGTGATGATGAGGGTATCACTAAGTACTGTGAATACCGTTCCACCAGATGCAAACGACGCACAAAGTTGAAGCATGCCAACCAACACCCTTGGAGCATTTCACAGGTGAGTACTATCAATCATACATTATTTCTGCTTTCAAAATCCTTGCACCTTTTAGCGATCTTAAGATAAGAGATTAGGCCTAGAGATAAGGAGTTTTACTTGTCGATCAACAACTGGGCACGTCATTTATGTGGAAATGCTATATTTTCTAATTCTTTGTCTAGACGGTTGAAAGCCAGTTTTCATGCCTATAAGACTTCCTTTTTATATCATTTTGCCATTACATTATGTATTTATTTTCGAGCATTTTCTTTTCAATTTATCGCTTGAATGGCATTCGATGTAACAAGCATCATTACCTTAGTGGCAGGTAAACTTATTTTAAAATAAAAGGTTAAAGCAATTGGTGATTTTCCTTTACAAATAGATGAGGATACCGGTCACCTTAAGACTGTCTTTACCCTTTTATTCAATTCAAGTCATGCAAGTTTCACTTTTAAATGGACTTGTGGAATATGTGGTTGCTATAGCGACGCTAATAAATTATTTCAAAAACCGTGGCTGGCCAATTGTACAATTTTACAACAGTGACGTTAACCTTTTTACTTAGCCACATGTACGCTGTTACATTTGTGGTGTTTGCACAAACCCCTTTCTTTTCTCATAAATAAATGTTGCGTTTTTCCCGCCGGGAGTGTTTAAAAGTATTGCCGCTGATGTGCTGACAAACATAGCAGGAACCTTAAATTTTTTCGTTCTTAGTGGCTAAGGACTTAAAAGAGGAAATGGCAAACAAGTCTTTTTTGGAAGAGATTTAATGATTTTCAAATTGTTGAGTTGGGAGTTATTCAAATGGATGGTTAGTGCTTATCTCATCGTGGAGGTTCCATCTCCTTCTGAATTAACCTAATTGCTTCTAATGTCCCGTATACCAGTCTTAAAGTTGCACATTTAAATCTGTTTACTATGGGAATCACAAATAAAGGGAAAATGTAAACTGCCGTATTGGAACGATAAGATGTTCGGTTGAAATATAGCAGTAAATTTTTCTCCGAGATAATTGTTGGCACGCTCTCATTTATTCCAACATGAACGCATTTAAGTAGGCAGTGTGTTTTCTGTTAAGTTTACTTGTCGACTTTTGCCGAAATTACAAGTTTACCCTCGAAGACGTTTCTTGTTGTTGGTCCCCCGCTAGTGAGCATGACCGACTGAGTTTGTATCACTGTTTCAAAACACTCCTTTAAGAACCTATTTTATTCTCACAGAAGTTAAGTTTAAAACTATCACAGTTGCACCGGCTCTTGTTTTGCGTCTTTTTACGGACTTAACCATCCACAAGAGGTAGGAACACTGGGAAAGTCAAGCATACCACATCAGTGTAGCACTCGAGTCACTCCTGAAGTCGTTGTCAGACGCACATTTGCGGATGACCCTCATTCTTTGCACTAAAAGGAGCGAAAGTAGACCTTTGTACCACCGTCGCAGAAGTCGAGGCTTAAGCATTTTGAAAAATGGCGTCATAGTATGAAATAGTTTGCTTGACTATACAGCAATAGCTTTGATTCTATGTAGCGATTAGTATCATGAATCAATTGTTTACTGGAACGTAAAGAGCCGGCTTTACTCGTTACTAATGTTCTTTAGTAAATTTGTCATCATTTTATAAGAAATGACTGTTGATACTGTATGCTGTCTGTGTTGAAGGCCATTTCCAACACAGCACACTTGGGTGGTAGCATTCGTCCCTCTTCCACTTCCTGCATTGCTGACAGTGCCGCAGCAACTAAATCACCCATCAAAAAGACTAAAGCCCTCCATCTAGTGACATTTAAATCTGTCTGGAAATCAGCGACGACTACATCTTTTACTTTTTTAACTTTCCAAAATGCAGTTTCGTCGCAGCCAGCACAGCGCCACGCGCACTCCGCGCACTCCATTCGATGGTGGGGTGGCGTTCTCATACAAACGAGCGAGCTTCTACCATTCGACATTGTTGACAGATGATTCTCCATCTTCTCCCACTCCACGGGAGCAAAGCATTGATATGTTCAATCCCTTTGAGGGGGATGACGAATGGAGCATTCGGGCGACGCTGCATGAATTCAACAAGGATAGAAGTAAGTTAATAATTTAATAAATTCAGAGGCACATGGTCGGGTGAATTTTTTCATCCATTTCATATTCCTGCGTCCTTTCATCTATCATGCACTATCCTATATCCACCCACACATCCATGAGTGGCCTTGGTGATCTCATTTAGCCAGTTAGTGGCTAGACTGTATGCACGCGGTGCGTTCTCATGATTATTCATACGCATCAGCAGATAAAGACAGCTCTGTCGTAGACATCAAAGGTGCTTTGAGAGTCTCGTCTAATGAAGGATTGATAAGCTATAAATGCGTGTTCGCCTCTTTTCCTTATCTTACTTCTCAACCCGAGATTTGATAAATTTCTGCATTTCGGCGACGCTTCAAGAATCCATTAGTGGTGAGACGTCCTTTTCTCCATGACCAGTAAAATCATGCTAGTTGGACGTCATAGTCACAGATGACTCGCACTCGCCTTACCAACTAGAGCTAGTCATTGAGCAGGAACCAATCAGATTCTGCCCGCTCGTGCTTGAGACCGCTCTTGGTTGCGCAGCCATGTAAGGCCATTCACTAGTCCCGAGCGTTCTGATTGGCTGTCTTGAGCGAAGACAAAGCCAAAAGGCACAACTACTCGTGGTGCAATCTTTCACAAGACCGCTCCGCGTACGGGCGTCTTAACACACTTGCTAGATGCAGGGGTCCCGGTCTAGCTTGAAGATCGCTCGTGTGAAATTGAAGGATTAGATTGAAATCTCTGACAATCGAAACCAGGAAACACACAAATGCACCTTTCACATTTTTTGTCCTTTAGAAGTGCGGGAAACTTTCGGCAAGATAATAACTGAGCCCGAAATCCGCGCTTTTGAGGCAATTGCCAAGTACTACTTCAAACAGACTCGTCAACGCTACCTACCCGAGTACTGGGTGCCTCTCCAATGGGCTGTTCGGCTGGTTCAAAAAGCCGGTCTGCATGGCAACATTCCCGATCCTCGTATGATTGGTGTCATGTTCAAGGTTATCGATCTTAACTTTATTTTCTGTTGAAATTGTTTTAAATTTTGGCTTTTAAGCCCACCTTTTTGTTAGCATGAAT